ACCAGGTTTGCTTTTTCAAAAAAATTGCCAAAAAAGGAAATTTTTAGGAAAAAGGAGGATCAGCGAAAAGAGTTTTTTTTTTATATTTAATATTCGATTATATTCAAATAATAATAATAACAATAATAATAAACTAAAGATTGATTATTTTTAATTTATTTTATTAAATAATTATTAATTTTTTTTCAAATTATAATTTAATATCAAAAATATTTTTATTTAATAAATATAAAAAATTTTTAAAACATTTATTTGTATATAAAAATTTTTTTAAAAAAATTTTTTTTTATAAATTAAATAAGTAAACCAATTTTCTGATAATAATTAAAAGTGAGAATTTAAAAAATAATTTTATTAATACAGTAGTAAGTAAAAATATTTTTTTTATCAATTTTGATTTTAAGTAAAAAATTTTTATTGTACAATATATTCTTAAGTAAACTTATTTACTATCTTATTAAAAATATTAGAAAAAAATTTTTTATATAAAATCACCAATTTTTTAAACTCAATTGTATTGAAACCTCTTGTCTTTATTTTTAACTTTTATTTTTTAAAAAAAATTTTTTAATTATTTTTTTAAATACAATATGCTTTTTAAATAATAATTTTATTATATAACTTTAAAAACCGTATGTATAATAAAGAATAACAGACGTTTTTTTCGCCACTATGAGATTTACTCCTATACGTAATAAGGTAGGATATGAGCTGCAAAAGAAAAAAACAAAGTGGTTATGCAAAATAAGCTGCACGCACGTAATGGCAAGTTTCATCTTTTTAAATAACCTTTTTTTTTGTTTGCGGTGTTATTTAATATACGTAGGTTATTGCCTGTATAGGTTGGCGATCACCCCGTAACACTTATTTCTTATTTGTATTAAAGTTAAATATATTAGCTTTTCATTCGCTTCAAAATAAAAATGCATCACAAAAACATCTAATTTCTTTTGAAACTATATTTAATGAGTTAATTTGTACTAAAATACTTATTCTAGATATCGTTAAATTTATTATAACAAATATTTTTCACGACCTCAACATTCTTATTATTCGAAAATGGCGCGAATGTCATTATAAAATAAGTTCGTCAATTTCAATACCAGATCCATTAGCCATCCGTGGCTGCAATTATGAGAAGTGTGTGTTCCTTAAACCTAGAAAACTGCAGGATTTATAGATTTCATGGTAAACTAAATTTGTAGGGTCAAAACAGAATAGTTTTAGTCTAGTGTCCAGATAATTTTTGCCGAGTCGATAATAAAGTTAAAAAAAAAATCGCTATAATTTGGGCGGCAGTCATTAACAACTCATTCTTTTAATAGGCATTTTTGAGAGTTCACTTCGTGCCTCCGCTGATCCATGTTCCGCTGCATTTCTTAAATATTCCATATATTTGTTATCATTAATTGGATGACCATGTTCTCCGTTCAAAAAGAGCTGAGAAACCATGTATAAAGCATCGGGATCGTTTTTCTTAAGTGCGGCCTTTTTTAGATATTTCAGCCCTTCATCTTTAGAGTAATAAGATCCCTTGAGACAGGCGTAGGCATACATGTACTGGCCTCGTACTTCGCCAGCATTGGCAGATTTCATAAATAATCGTAAAGCCTGAACTTCATCTTTTTCAATGTCGCCAGTTCCATTGTAGAGATAAAGGCCTGCATAATATGAAGCCAAAGGATTGCCATCTTCTGCCAGTTGTAAGAATTGTGGAAAGGCCTCTCTGTATCTTTTCTCTTTATCAAGTAATATCACTTCATCAATGGGTAATAACTTGAAAGGCGCACTTTCCGCGTTATCTGATACAGGTGTTTCAACTGGGGCAGTGGAGGGAAAACAATTTTCTCCTTTTCTCATTATTCCAAGTTTCTTTCGTACTTCATCAATCGTTGGACGTTTAATTGGGTTATTGTGCCAGGCCTCCTCGACTATCCTTCGATATTGTTCCGGTGTATCTTCTGAAAACGGACTGGGACGTTCTCCTTTTTTAGCCATTTCACCTGCTTTCATATGACTTTCGATGTCACCGAACGGGAGCTGATGTGAAGAGATTTCCCAGAGAAGAACAGCAAAGCTAAAAATCACAAACTTGTTAGATAATCAGTGTGTACTGTATATGTACATTTCCTTTATTTTACTATACCTATATACTTCACACATGTGAGTATAAGGTTGCCCCGGATATTTTATTTTTTCTGGCGCAGTCCATCTGAATATTATTAGAAATTAATTTGAATTTTTTTAAAAGAAATTTTCATTACAAAAAAATCATACAACCTTATAGCTTCTAGCGGCATTTTTTTGGATTTTCCTCCGATCTCTCGGCTCAATTCAAAGTTAGTGAGCCTTGCGTCAAGATTTTCATTGAGCAATATATTTTTGCTAAATCAGGAAATTTTATCGTTGACATAAAATTAATAAAAGAAATGTTTAAAAAAAAAAAAAAAAAAAGATATACTAATGGAGAGTTTTATACCTTCTAACAACTCGATGAAAAATTCCTACACTGCTACAAAAACAAAGACCTCTGGCGATTTGTTCTGCAATTTTGAACTTAGTCTTCCACGGAATTGCATTGTTTTTGGACAAATATTCCTGGAGATTTCCGTTTTCCATCCATTCAGTAACTACAAAAAGATAGTCTGTTTCATCCACATTTTCGACGTATATACCGTAGCTATTAATTAGAAATGAAAGAAATGATTAAAATTACAGTTGAAGATCGAGAAAGTAAAAGGAAAAACAAAATACTAACAATTTTTCAATTTGACTACACCTTCCTAGCAAACTAATTATTTTTGTTTGTTTGGCAAATTTTTCTATTTGCACGTCAATATCAGGCATTTGTTTTATAGCGACCATATCTCCAATGTATTTTCGTTTCCTGATCTTATTATTCGTGAATTTTACATTGAGACCATCGCCGTCACAGCAATCATCATCATCATCAAAGCATGATGGATCAATCGTCAAATTTGTGATGTCTTCACTCGTCACACTGTTCCCCTTTTCTGTAATCATGATTTCCAAAGCGGCAAAACCTTCATCTATTTTTTTTTGCATTTCCCTAACTTCCCTATTGGTATCGAGTGCCACACAATTATAAAAATTATTTGTGGCGTCCATTAATTTTTTGAGCAAATTTTCATTGGCCGCTTTAATCTTAAATAGAAATTAAAACTCATCAATTTTGGTTGTAGAAATAAACGAATAATTTTTATAACATTCGTGTATAATCTTACATCATTTGCATTTGTTATTTTCATAAGCCATGATTTTGCTCTCTCGGTGAAATTTCCAGTTTTATCTATTTCCTTTATATATAAATTGATTTCTTCTAACACATTTTCGTAGGTTTTTTGTAATTTCTCGATAGGCTTGTCGATACGGCCTCCTTGTGATGCATATTCGGCAATTATTTCTATGCTTTCTTTCACACGCTCAGAAATATATTTACATGCCGCCTCATTATGATGAGCATTTTCTGCTAGATCTATGATATCCTGAGCAATAGCTGCTGCGGCGTTTCCGATAAGCGGTATGGCCCCACATCCTTGGACAAAAACGAATTTAGAAGCAGATATCAAATACTTCTTCTCCATTTGGTTATAATTTTGGATGGTTGAATTGGATACGCTTATATACGTACCCAGCGTACAGTTGATACACAAGTTCTTTCATGACTTGTGTACCGTTACTTTCATAAATGCCTACTTTGTGGGTAATCTTTCACGGGAGCGACCTTTCACTTACCAAAACTGGACGGCGTGTAATAGTAAAATTCACAAGAATGACCTGCTTTCATATAAAAATGGAGAAATTTAAAGCAGTAATACTGCATGGTGCATAATAAAAACACGTAACATACTAATTAAGAATGTATGTCTACACGAGTACGTACTGAATATACGCAAACGTAAACCCCTAATTCGCAATAAATATCTACAAAGTTAGTAAAGCCTCACATATTTTATGCAATGTACTGTGTGCCCTTCAATGAAACATGACAGAATTATGAGGCTAACTTCTTGTCACACCATAACGAAACCGAACTTACTTCTTAAACAGCCTTTGACAATTAAAGATTAGCCCATCGTTATACTCGATGTTAAATTACCGAACCTACTCTAATTGATTTAATACCTATCATTATGAAGCTTAGCATAAAAAACATTATCCTAAATAAACCCAAAATACTTGGTATAAGAACCCGTTCGATATGCAAATGGTGAAATGCACTAATAAAATACGTGTCAATTGTGCAACTTAATCCGTTATATCGTTTAACGTTACTGTATTACGCAACCTAGATAACTTACATTTTTGGCTTCAAATAACAGTACGTACAGTATGCCCTGTTACCCAATTTTTTTTTACTCTCAGTAATTTAATATCAAATGAGACGCTTTTTCTAAGAGCATTCTTTTGTCATTAAAATAAATTTTGAGCTTATTAAATTTAAACCACCATCACCTAGACGAGGCGTATAATATAAAGGCAAAAAAAAAAAAAAAAAAGTTATGTGATCATTATACGTAGACAATGGATTGATTTATGGCATTAAAAAATAAAATGCAAACTACTGCAGCCAAGTTCGGCTTCCTGTTACAATTATATAATAAATAGTGCAATAAAATAGAAAAAATAATAATTTATAAATTTTAAATTTAAATATTTGGTCACCTTTATAACGAATCATTGTAAAAATATTTTGTATAAAAATATAAAACACGATTTCCAAAAAAATTAGAATATTTTAATAATTAAAAACTAAAGTTTTAATTAATATTTATTATATATTTAAATTTTTGAAGGTAAAGAAAAACGTATAAATTTAATTTATACTGCGTTGATTGTTGCAATTAAATTTTAGAATTATAAATTTTCAAAAAAAAAAATTTTTTTTTTTTTTATATTCTCTGTCAAGTTAATTACAAATGGTTTATTTAATATTTTTGTATATTGTACATCTATTCTATGCATTACTAAAGTTAATTTTCGAATTAACTAACTTATCTTAGTGTTAAAACTTAAATATATATGTTAAATAATTTACTACTTCATTAATAATTTAAATAAATATTTTTTCAACTATTGATATTATTTACTACTTCGTTAATAATTTAAATAAATATTTTTCAACTATTAATATTAGTGTTACAAATAATTACAATAGATCACAACCAAGTTTTGATCAGAATCAAATTTTAATTACTTCATTATATACATAATTTTATTTATTAAATTCTTATAATATTCTTGTTTACAAATTTTTTTGTTTTTTATATAATTTTATTTATTTTATTTATTAAATTCTTATAATATTCTTGTTTACAATTTTTTTTTGTTTTTTATATAATTTTAATTTTAATCAAATTCTTCAAAATAAATAATTAGATAATATAAACTTTGTAATTTCTGAAAATACCATAAGATTGTTTTATTTTATTATATTTTATTGTATCTTATGTTTTAATTTATTTTTTTTTTTATAAAATACAATTTATTTTATTTTATTTTTTATCTTTCATACCTATTTTTTTATTTTATTATTTAAAATTTTATTCTACTACTTTTATAATTAAATTATTTTCTAACTTACATTAAATATTTAATAATTGATAAAGTTTTATAAAGTAATCTAAATAATTATTATTTATTTTATTTATTTATTTACTTATTTTATATATATATATGTATATATATATATATATATACTGTATATATATTATATATTTTATTGTATAAACTAAATATTTTATCTGGTAATAAATAATTTTCAATATATTATACTTTATATTTTATTTATTTATATAAATCTAATATTTTTATTATTAAATTATTAAATTGTTTAATAGAAAAAAATTTTTTATATTATATAATTCAATTAAATATACTTTATTTAAATAATTTATTAAGATTAAAAGTTTTTAATAATACAAAAATATAATTAAAGGCAATATATTAATACAGTATATTAAATTAATCTATAAGATAAAAAATCTAAATTTTTAAAATATAAATATTGATTTTATATTAAATATATATAAATTAATAATAATACTAATTTATAAACAAAAATATTAAAGATTAAAAAATCTTTATATTAATAAAATAATAAATTACTTTTTTTTTTTTTTTTTTAAAAAACCCTCGTCAAGCTAGATATGTATGCTTTATTAAACTTATGTATACTTTACATTAAAAATAAATCACTAAAACTAAGTCTCTATCTAACTCACTCGTCTCTATTTTAAGTATTATTAAAACTCTAAGTACAACTTCAGGAGTAATTTATTACCCCATTAGCAGTTCAGATAAAGAACCTTCCAACTGTTAACTTCATTGCCTACAGATCACTACTGCAAATCACTCTATGCAGTTCTAACAGAGCTTAAAACCCAACCATTTCATTACATACTCTACTCTTCTTGTTAGGATTTCTTGGGGCTTTCATCTTCAAGATTTCCTTCTTCAGGTAATAAATTTCTTTTCTTCTGAAGTGTAATTTTCAGGCCTAAAAGATAAGGAGGTCTTTTCGTTTTGTCTTTATTACTAATTTCTTATGTTTGTTTCCATTCGATTATCTTTTCACATCTTTTGTTCTAGATTTCTTTTCAAATTTAGTTGCAGACTCTTTTTTGCATTTTTAATATCCACTTTCTTGCTGTTCTTTCTATACGTTTACCTTGACATTTTAGATTTATCACTTCTAGGATAAGGTCATTTCTTATAAGGTTAGTATAGAAACTTAGTATATTCTGACTTGTTCCAGAAGTCTGTCCCACTACTTTAATGATCCACTTGTCAAACTCTCCTAATTCTTCATGGTTATCAATACTTAGCCTGGAATTTTTTTTTCAGCCTCTCTCTTTCTTTTCACATAATAGCTCTTTAATGTTTCTAATGATTTCATCTACTCCTTTGTTCCATACCTTTTGTAGCTGATCTTTATAGGATGAACATTCTAGTAAGTATTCTATAGTTTCATCTGGTTAACTATATGCGATGCATTTTACTTGCTTGTATAAATCCAGTCTTCTTACAGCCATCTTATTTAAAGTGGGCAGCTCGTTATTGATCAGTTTGATAAGAAAGCTTCTTTGTTAGGATTGTTTAAAAGATGTATCCCACATATGTCCATTCTTGATCCTTTCTCATACTAAGTCCCATGTGTGAGCTTGATGTTCTGAAATCTGGTAACTCCATTTTTTCTCTATTTTGTTTTGTTGTGTTCACTGATAAACTGTTGTCTTATTATTAATATTCTTAAGGAACTATCTAATTGAATCATCTAAAGTTGTCCCTTGTCACTTGATTTCAATTATAATTTTGTGTGAAGTGAGATCTTTTCATTCAATTGATGGAAATTTTGTGGCTTCCTTAGCTAGGGATCTGCTTCTTTATTATATTTGTCGTTTGAGTGTGCCTTAACTTTAGTAAGCTTTAGATATAAGTTTTTTTTTTTGTTAGTTCTACCATACATGTCCATAGGAACCAATTTTTTTCTTTGGGCCATCTCTTGTGTATTCTTTTCAAGTCTTCTTTTTTTACGGATTTTCACTTGAAAATATATACTTGACTATCTGTGTAGATTTCCACCATGCTTTCAATGGGAACTACTAGGATTATTGTTATAATTGCTACCAATTCTGCTCTTGTAGATAAGGATTAATTGTTTACTCCTGTTTGAAACTTGCTTTTCTTTCCTTCTTTTCCTATTTGGATCCAGGCTGCTCCCATCTTCATATTTTCTTTTCTATAATTAGTAAATGATCCATCAGAATAAAAGATTAGCTTTTCTTTAAATCCTAGATTACATTGGAGTATATTTATTAGGTGATCTTGATATGCTCCTTCTCTAATATGTTCTTTGATAATAGTTCTTTCCCAGATTTCGATGTTCACATGATTTACTCTATCATTTTGGGTCTTTATAAAGCTTTGGTTGTAAATTACTTCTTTGATACTTTTTTCAAGTGTTAACTTGGAGTTGGGAATTTTTAGGTCTCTTGTTCTTCTAGTGGACTTTCTTGTATTGAAATATGGTATTACAAATATTT